AAAAAAAAAAAAAAAGAACTGCAGCCTTCAATATGGACTGAGGCTCAATGTGAAGAAGACAAGGATTCTCACCACTGGACCAGTTGGAAGCATCATCATAGATGGTTAAAAGATTGAGATTGTTAATAGCTTTAGTTTGCTTGACTCCACAACCAACACTCTTACCAGCAGCCAGGAAATTAAAAGACATATTGCAATGGGAAAGTCTGCTGTTAGAGTGATGTCACTCTGGAGACTAAGGTGCGCCTGATACAGGCCATGGTCTTTGCAATCACTTTTCTATATGTCAGAGAGATGGACAATGACTAAAGGTGATAGAAGAATTGAAGCCTTTGAGCTGTGCTGTTGGAGAAGAGTATTGAATATACCATGGACTGCAAGAGAATGAACAGGTTCATCTTAGAGTTAAACCAAGCTGCTCCTTGGAGGCAAGGATTTTGAAGCTTTGTCTCACATACTTTGGCCATGTTGCAAGGAGGGACCAGTCCTTGGAGAGGGACATCATGCTTGGGAGGGTGGAGGAACAGTGCAGGAGAGAAAGACCCTCTATGAGGTGGATTAATTCAGTGACTGGGGTAATGAGGGTAGGTGTGTCAGAGGCAGTGCTTTTGGCACTGGATAGAGCACGGTTTAGGGCTGTTGTACATAGGGTTGCTGTGAGTCGCAGGTGACTCCACGACACATAACAACAAAAACAAGTGTTCCCTTGCTCTGTTTGCACAACAGCCTCTTGAGCTAGATATAGGTTTCACACGAGTACAATTAGATGTTCTGGAATTCCCATTCTTCTCATTGTTAGCTATCATTTGTTATTATCCATACAGTCAAATGCCTTTGCATAGTCAATAGAGCACAGACAGACATTTTTCTGGTATTCTGCTTTTAGTCAGGATCCATCTGACCTCAGCAGTGTTACCCCTGGTGTCACAGCCCCTTCTAAACCCAGCTTGAACTTCTGCTTTGTACTTTTCTAACCATTTTTACATGATCTTCAGCAGTATTTTGCTTGACTATCTTATTAATGATATTGTTTGATATTTTCTACATTTTGTTAGATCGCCCATCTTGGGAATGGGAACAAATACGGATCTCTTCCAGTCAGTTGGCCAGGCAGCTGTCCTCCAAATTCTTGGCATAGACTGGTGAGCACATCTAGGGCTGCATCTATCACTTTAATTGATATCCCCTTGATTCCTGGAGTCTTCTTTTTCTCTAGTGCCTTCTGTGAAGCTTGAATTTCTTCCTTTTTTACCATTGGCTCCTGATCATATGAAAGTTCCTGAAATATTTCAGCGTTGACGAATGTTGTGGTTCAGTGATTCTGTGTTTTCCCTCCATTTTCTTTTGGTTTTTCTTAAGTCATTCAAGATTTTTGCTAGTAGCATCTCTTAAATATGTCAATTTGAGGTTTGAATTTGTTTTTCAGTTTGAGAAATGCCAAGAGAGTTCTTCTATTTTTATTCTCCAATTCTAGGCCTTTACACATTCCATTATAACACTGCTTTGTCTTCTTGAGCTGCCCTTCGAAATCTTTGATTGAGCTCTTTTAACTTCAGCATCTCTTAATTTTGTTTTGACTTCTTGATGCTCTAATGCAGCTTTCAGACACCACTTTGTCTTTCCCCCCCTTTCTTCTCTGTCTTTGTAATGGCCTTTTGCTGTCTTCATGGATTCTCGATATCATCCCATAACTCATCTGATCTTCGACCATTGGTGTTCAGTGCTTCAAACCTACTCCTAAGGTAAGAATTATTTCTAAAATTAAGCACAAATAAAAGAGTTTAATTAGCTAAATGTTCATTTGAGTACTTTATGTATACAGGGAAACCATTTTGTACCCTTTCAAGTCCCCCTGTGTCCCCCAAAAAGCTCAGTGTAGTTACAATGACACTTTTAAGAACAGGAAAGAAGGGAAATTAGCCATTGACTAGTGTCATCATAGGGAGCTCTGGCGACCTAGTGGTAAGATGCTGAGCTGCAGGCGACTTGACGGCACATAACAGCAACAACAAGCAGTCCCAAAGGCACGAAGGGGTGTCCCGCCAGCTGCTTTGAAAGAGGAAGATTGACAGTCTCCTTTCTTGTGATTTATTATTTCTGAAAACCCCCTAGAGGGCCAGCTATGGATTGGTTCCAACTTGATGGCACATAATAACAACAGTCTCAGCATGGGGAGCTCTTCTTGTGTCTTAGTGGTAAGGCGTTGCACTGCCAGTACAAAGGAACGTGGTTCGAATCCACCAACTGCTCCACAGGAGAACAATGAGCATCTCCTCCTTTGTAATTTACTGTCTCAGAATACCATTTGGTGAGTCAGCTATGGGTTGGTTCTGACTTGATGGTACCCAAGTCTCGTCATGGGGCACTCTGGGGCTGAGTGGCGTAGTCAGTAGAGTTG